AGAACAGATAAACTAATTAATCCAACTAATAACTCTAAATATATACATACGGACTTGAAAGCAAAATCCACTTTTTTCCCAAACAATTTCATATCTAAAGAAATGACCACCTTTGAAAAATTAGTGATGCAGGATATTAATAAAATAAAACCTAGAAACAAAAACCATATGAACTTAAGTAAAGAAGAATGGCTAGCCCTGAAAGCACTACAGAAAGACAAAAACAAGGTTATAAAACCAGCAGATAAAGGTGGAGGGATCGTTATTATGAAAACGGAAGATTACCTCAAAGAAGGACTCAGACTAGTAGAAGACACAACAACATATCAAAAATTAAATGGAGACCCAACAACCAGTATCAAAAATAAATTCGAAAACCTACTGAACAAAGGAAAAGAAATAGAAATATTAAATGAAAAGGAATATAAATATATTAACATTGTTAAACCAAAAATCCCAGTCTTCTACCACCTTCCCAAAATACATAAACATTTAACCAGCCCTCCAGGTAGACCGATAGTCTCAGGGATAGAATCTGTATCCAGCAGACTATCGGAATACCTGGACAAATGTCTACAACCTCTGGTTCAAAAAACTCCAAATTATCTTAAGGACACACTAAATATCATACAAACACTACAGCATATTCAATGGGAACCCAACTACATCCTGGTAACGGCAGATGTCAGTTCCCTTTACACCATAATTTCACATACGAAAGGGCTAGAAGCAGTGGAATTTTTTCTCAAAAGGGATAATGTTTATCCAGAAGAACAAATAAGTTTTATTATGGAAGGAATAGATCTTATCCTTCATAATAACTATTTCTGGTTCAACAATGAATTTTTTCTACAGAAAGTCGGTACCGCTATGGGGACAAGGTTCGCTCCTAGCTACGCAAATTTATTTATGGCTTACTGGGAATCACAATTTATAGATAATAATTTGGAATGGGGAGCGAACCTTGTCTCCTATAAACGGTACATAGATGACATTTTTTTAATTTGGAATGGTTCAGTGGATCTTTTAAAATCATTTTTAACTTTTTTAAATACAAACGACTGGGGAGTAACATTAACCACAGAATACAGTAAAGAAAGTGTTAATTTTTTAGATTTAACTATTTTTATAGAAGACAATAACATTAAAACAAAAACTTTTTTTAAACCAGTAGATGTAAACAATTATATTTACCTAAATAGCTGTCATTTTTCTCCCTGGCTAAGAAATATACCTAAGGCACAACTAATGAGAGTTCGTAGAAACTGCACTGATCAAAGCACTTTTGAGATACAGGCTATAAAAATTAAACAAGACTTCATGGAAAAGGGATATGAAGAAATCTCTCTCACAAACACTATAGAAGAAGTTAAAACCATGGAAAGATCCTCATTACTAAAATATAAACCAAAAAGCGTAAACACAAATACAAATTTGCCATTTATCTGTAACTTTAACCAAGAAAGCCACAAAATCAAACAAATAATAAACAAACACTGGCCCATGCTAAGGAATGATCCTATGCTATACTCTATACTACCAGAGAGACCGAAATTAGTATACAGAGGAGCTCCTAATTTAAAACAAAAATTGACACATAATCACATTAAAGAAAACACACCTACCCCCTTTTTTCAGAAAAATGTTTTTTTTGGCTGTGGACAGTGCCTAGCCTGTAGAAGCACAAAAAGCACAAAAAGACACATTACAGAATTTTGCGACTCTAAAGGGGAGAAAAAATATAAGATACGCCAAATGATTACGTGCTTTTCTAAGAGAGTTATATACGTTTTAAGGTGTTCTTGCAATTTATTCTATGTTGGTAGAACAAAACGCCCTCTACAAACACGAATAAATGAACATATCAGAAACATTAAAAAAGGTTTTGATAAACATAGTGTTTCAGAACACTTTAGCCTAATACATAATAAAGACCCTCAATTTCTAGAATTTATGGCTATCCAGAAAATCACACTCAACTGGCGAGGGGAAGATGAAATTAGAAAATTAGGAAAAATTGAAACAAAATGGATTTTCGATCTTAATACTCTAGCCCCCACAGGTCTAAATGCAGACTTTGAATTATGCCATTTCTTATAAACTAGACTATATATATATATATATAATACACCAATTAACATCATTGTTTCTTATTGGGCTCTATTTTTAGCACTATTCCATATAAGAGTCCCTACTGCTTCAAATAAAGAATAATTAAGTGTATACTAATTTTATATATTTAAAACAAAAAACAGTTGGAATTTTAGATATGAACAAAATGTGGAATATGTTTGCACAAATATTATTTCATAAAGAATGCACACTTTGAAACAAAGGTCACCTTTTTACACTATGTCTAATGTGCATGTTTTTTCTATGTAAAAGATACTATTGCCTAAAATAGAGATCAAATAGCATGACAAAAGAGTTGAAATATAATTATAGTTATTGCCTTTCAAAATTTAGAACACATATGGAGAAATAGTAAAATATGATAAGACATATACAATAACATAACATTTTATTATAATTTTTCTTTTTTCTTCTATTTGCATTATATAACTGTATATGAGCCAAAGAGGGCTCTAATATGAACTGCAAAAAAACCCCCATTGCGGACTATATTTCCCACAAAGAACCGGACGAAAACCGGAAGTGACGCGGCTTAAATTACAGAACATGAAGAGGACACTCACAAGCTGACTGAGGAAGCCATTTTTACCGGCGAAACGCGTTTTGGCTTTTAAAGTGGACTCATTATTTTTCCTGAACCACCAATACTTGCAATAATTTGTTCTTATCCAATTTTTTATTTTCTAGAAAAATATTTTTATACTGTTTTTATATATATTGTAATAAATTCCCTTATTTTATACTATCCACTGTATCCAGCACCAGTGATTCCAGGGAAGGGGCAGTGTCACCCCACAAACTGACACTAGGCCTATACACTTAGAGCCAGTTACCAAAAGGCTCTAAATAAGGTGAGCACTTCAATTTGTTATTTATAAGAAAATATCATAGAGGATGCTACACTTAGTTGGATAATTCTGTGTCTTTCATATATACGCTGGGGAGAGAAAAAATACACACTTAACCTGGAGAGAGGGGTCGTGTGATCTACCCTTAAAGACACAGATGCACGAAAGTTTAGAGCCTAATTCACTTGAAAAGGCTCTAAAAAATGTGAGTGGAGATATATATGTTACCCACTAAACACTTCACTAAAGTAATAGATATACTGCACAATTATCTGTATATATTTCTGTTTTCTTTTGTATATGTATTACATTGGAGAATATAAAGGATAATTGCCTTTGAATCACAGGTAATTCACTGTGTTTTCACACACTACACAGCGCTGCACTCATAAAGATAGAAGACCTGAGGGGTGGTAACACCCATTAGATCTGAAATCTTTTTCGTCTTTTGGTGTTTACCCTTTGGGAAGCTGTTTTTGGTTCCTACATCATCTAAGTATTATTTTGTCTTTGTGTTGCTAGTGGGAACATTGTTTGTACATGTGAAGGATTTCCTGTACTTACGTGTATTGCCTTCAGTTGTAGCTTCTCCCTGCTGTCCAAATACTTGTGAAATGTTGTTTAAGTATGTGTTAAAAAATTGTATTCGTCTACCGAACGAGAGACCACCCGCCCTGGGTAGCAATCAGCGTTAGAACGTGGAGAAAACCGCAACTTAATTACTCCTAGGTGGCCGCCATTCGACATACGAACACGTGGCTAGAACAAAGGATGGCGGCCATCTTAAAACTCATGAACGCGGTCAGCGGGGCGAACGCATTAATTGCCTGGAACTATTTTCGGCAAGGCAAACATACGAACGCCCGGTCTTCATGGAAGTCCTGGATGAATACGTTCCCCTCCACGAATCAAACTGGCATTCGGTAGATAGAATCTACTGAACGATGGGAACATTCGTATGTAACTAGCTGTACCATACGAACGGTGGTTTTCGTGTTGTCGCGAACAGAGACCGGCTCTTGCTACTGATTTTATGCAACTCTAGCTCGGATACCTCCACATGGCGAGCCGGTCAAACTTCTACACGATGCGACACGGAAATTACCAAACGGAAATTCGTGAGATTTGGATATATGACTACCAGTATCCTCAGCTACCCAGGGATGTTAAAATTATAGTTGTATGTATTATGAAAATTTTCTGAAATTGTTAAAAATTATTATGTTTCTGGCCAGCATATAATTGAGCTTTGTGTATTGCTGAAACTCAATTATCTAGCCTGGCCCAGAGGAGGAGTTTTGTATCACATAGATTGTGTGTCCTGTGTGCCAGTAAAGTCAGTCTTGTTCCAGCATTAAGCTTTGGCTCATGTGTGGATTATTCTGCGATTCCAGGGATATTTCTTCTTGTGGAGTATTGGGTGATTTTCTTTTATGGGAAGAAGGGAATGCATGACGGTGATACCGTATACTACTGTCACAGTACATATCACTAATTTTGCTGGTGACATGAATCTTTAAATGAGTTTTAATAAACTTTTTTTTTTTTAAATTAGAGTATTCCTTTAGGCTTTGATCATCATTGTTACATAAAAAAATTATCAACACATAATACTGCAAGGTGAATGAATAGAGGAAAAATGGAAATCAAACTAATATTTGGTGCGACTACCATTTGCCTTCAAAACAGCATAAATTCTTCTAGGTACACTTGCACAATGTCATTGATTTTGTAGGTATATAGTCAGGTGCATGATTAAACAGTGATACCAGACAGATGTTTCTGATCATCAGTTTAATATGTAAGTTGAAATACAATCATTACATGAAACAGAAACAGCTGTGTAGGAGGAATAAAACTGGGAAAGAAACAGACAAACTCTACTAACAAGGTGAGGTTGTTAATGATAATGTAATGTCAAACAGCATACATCATGGCAAGACTGAGCTCAACAAGCCACAAATTAGTTATACTGCATCAGCAAGGTCTCTCTTAGGAAGACCTTTCAGGCAGACAAGGGTTTCCAGATGTGCTGTGCATGCTCTTCTGAAGAAGCACAAAGAAACTTTAACATTGAGGACTGTAGACACAGCAATCAACCAAAGAAACTTAGTGCAGCAGTTGAATGACGTATCATAATTACTTTACTTCACAATCAGACGATGTCCAACAGTCCATCAGGTCATAACTGGCAAAAACCGGTTGGACCCTTTCCAAAGATGTCTGATCAGAAGTCTTCTGTTCCCCCCAAAAAATACCTCCAATGTGGAAATAAGGCCAAGAAATTCAACTGCATGAAAACATAGGTACTTGGGTTCAGAAAAATTGCAGCAGGTGCTTTGGGCTGATTAGTCAAAATCCAAACTTTGGGTATAGCAGATGGCAGTTCATTCACCACTGGAGAGAAATAAAAGAATTTCTCCAGGCAACAGTGAAGCATGGTGGAGTTTCCTTGCAAGTCATTTCTAGATAGGGAGTTGGGGTTATGGTCAAAATTAATGGTCTCCTTAATACTGAAACATACAGGAAGGTACTTATCCATTGTGTCATTAATACCCCCAAGGAGGCATCTGATTGGCCCCAAATGTATTCTGCTGCATGACAATGAACCCAAACATACAGTAAATGTTATTAAGAACTATCTTTGGTATAAAGAAGAACAGGGAGTCCTGAAAGTCATGATATGGTCTCCACATTATGAAGTTTGTTTGGGATTATATGAAGAGACAGAAACAACTAGGGTTGCCTAAATTCACAATAGAACTGGCTGGAAGATGTTTGGAACAACCCACTGTTGAATTCCTTACCAAACGGCCTGCATATGTACCTAGAGAAATTTATGTTGTTTTGAAGGAAAGGGATGGTAACACCAAATATTGATGTGTACTAGATTTTTTTTCTGTTCAATTACTTTGCATTTTGTTAATTGATAAAAGTACCTAATAACATTTCTATTTTTGAAAGCATTCTTCCTCTACAGTATTTTGTGGCATTAACCTAATGACATAAGACAGTATACTTATTATAATATCACAATTACCCAATTTGTAGGAAGGATATTTGTATCTGATCCCTGGGCTGCCATACGGCCTCAAAGGCAACATAACCAATCTGGCAGATTTGAATGCGTGAAAACTGAAATGGGCAAGCCTTATATGTAACTTTCCAAAACACCATAAAACCTGGACATCAGGGGTACTGTTGTACTTGTGAGACATTGCTGAACACAAATATGTGTATTTTATTGCAGTAAAAGCTAACAGTATTATGACATTCACAGTTAAATGCCACTCAGAACTTGAAAAATAACATGTCTTAATTTCTCACACTTTTTTAGATTTTATTCATATTAAGTTATATTTCATATTTAAATATTTGATGTGAAATAAAAGCACTGTTTCTTTCCGAACAAAATGATATATAATAAGTGTGGGTGCACTTAATATGAAAGAGGTAAAGCGTGGTTGAACATATAACTTAAATTCCAGGCATTGTTTTGATTAGAACTTGTCCAATTGCCTTCGTCTTAAATGGGTTAAAGGATGAAAGAAATATGCTGGAGGAGAGGAAGAGATTGAATATTTTAGTGAGGCGGAGTGCAAGAGAATTGAGGAAAAAGGTTCAAGGGAACAGGTAGTTGAAGCAGAGCAGAATCTTCTTCTGGTGTTGCAGGTGCAAGTGAGCATAGAACAGAGGAGGGGTAGAAGAGAGAGTAGGGTTGGTTGAAATATTGGTTTGGGTAGGAGAGAGATTAGAGATATTTTCCCTGTTGAAATCTTCTCAGTAGATACAAGGAGAGTTTGGAAATTGGTGGAGAACCACTGTAGGGCAAGACAGTGGAGGTGTGTTTGAGACTGATATACGAGGGTGAAATTATTTGGCTCCTTTACAATTGTTAAGTCTGTGAGTGTGGAAGAATCATAGGCCATCAAAGCATAAAGAAGCAGTAGTAGCACTATTAGAGGGGGGCAGCCAGGTCTCAGTGAATGCTATTACGGTGAGAATTTGAAAGGTAGCTGTTGATTTCTGTTTGCTGCAGATAGAGTGTACATCGAACACTGGTAGATGAGGAGTAATAACATGGTACAGGGATGAGATTCACATAAGTTCGGATGGACTTACTGTGGGCAGAGGATGTGAAGGGCCGTGTGTTGGGATAGACATCACCAGCTGTTAGAATCAGGAGGAGAGACAATGACAAGAGGTTAGAGTGGATTTTGTATGAGATTGTTTGGGAGTAGGAGTAAGAGAAGATAGAAATTAGTGCAGGCCATGAGATGAGAGATGGAGGAGCGTAGCAGAAAGGAGAAATGTAGAGATTGTTGGGTGGTTGAAGCAAGTGAGGGAAAGGAGTGATTTTGACACACAGGGAGGATAACGAATAATAGAAGAAAAGACAGAGCATTGCTCAGATGAGCATGACCTTTAAGGTTATATTGTCCATTTGAGTACCATGAATAGTATAAAAGTATCTTACACAAAGAAAAAACTTCTAAAATAAAGACCAAAAATGCTTAAGGACCAATAACATATTCATTATGGAATTTACATTTGACATTTATTTTGTTGCCTGTAGGATGTTCATCTCAAAGCACCTCTTCTGTCTTGAACCAATACATTATTGAACCTGAAGGAGAATACAGATTAATACAACTGAACCCAGGCCCATTCTGTTGAAACAAAGTCACCACCAGATTAGAATTCTTATGGAACCATAGACACTGGCATTTATTACCAAGACCTATTCCGTTAATTGTAATTAAAGGTGATATGAAATTGTAGGTGGCAGGATTGACCTATTATAGCCATAAATTTCAGTATATAAATAGTTTTTTTCCAAAAGAACGAACAGCACTCTTTCCTGGCTAATCATGGCAGCATTTAACATATGGGTTTAGCTCCTCCCTCTAACCCTCAGGACAGGAAACACAATCAATTAAACAATTAAGCATACCTTCCCCTAGTATATTAGGGACCCCAGTAGCATCCACACCTCTAAGAATAATTTGTGCACCCTTCCTTTTTTGGGAGAAGTACTCTTTGGGAAGCCACTGGATGAAGCTATTAAAAAAGTGTCCGAGGTTAAACAGGTCATGCTGCCACAAGATAGACGTCCCAAGAGACATCATCTGGACCGTAGACCTTTCTGGGATCAAGGCTATTTTAGGGAAAGTAAGACCTACAGACCGGGCAGAGAATTCGCTAGGCATTCCAATTGGAAGAGCGGTCAGAACATCAAATCTTCTAGGGGCAAGACGCAAAGCTCTTCCTTTCACCCCAACAAGCAATTCTGAAGGTGGCTTACTCCAGGTTCCTCGAGTGGGAGCACATCTGTCATTTTTTCAGAGGGCCTGGGAAATCATTCTAGATGCTTGGGTAAGGTCCATTATCACCGGAGGTTATCATCTGGGATTCGAAGAATTTCTTCCTCCACCAAGGTTTATTCGAAAAAGGCTTCCTACCAACAGCCAAAACGAGAGATTTTAACTCTTTATGTCAACAATCTTCTTATAGAAGAAGCCATTGTACCTGTACCCATGAGAGAAAGATTCCAGGGATATTATTCTCCCCTGTTTTTGGTCAAGAAACCCAAAGGAAAATGGAGACCTATATTAGACCTCCACCAGCTCAACCTTTACCTGAGATTCAAGAGATTTCGCATGGAATCCTTTCGTTCCATCGTTCCTGTTGTTCATCACAAAGATTGGTTGATCTCGGTAGACCTCAGGGATGCATATTGTCATTTCCCTATCACGGTCAAGCACCAGAAGTTTCTCAGGTTTTGTGTCAGGAAGGAACACTTTCAATTTCAGGCTCTTCCCTTTGGGATAAGTACAGCCCCGAGGACCTTCTCAAAGATTTTGGTCACCATCATTGCTCTGCTCAGAAAAGAAGGTGTAGCTGTGTTTCACTACCTGGACGACATCCTGGTAGTGGCCCTGGACTTAAAATCCATGTTCCAACACAGACAACTAGTCCTCGACACTCTCTCTCATTTCGGTTGGCTCATCAATCACGAAAAGAGTCATTTGCATCCATCAAGAGAATTGGTATTCCTGGGAGCAAATTTCAATACCGACACAGCGATTGTATCCCTCGCACTCGACAGAAAGCTCATACTTCAAGATCGTATAAGGAGCTCCAGACTGAAAATTTCAGGCTTGGCGAGATAGTTTATGAGACTTCTGGGTACTCTTTCCTCCACAATAGAGCTTGTCAGATGGGCACGGTGGAACCTTTGCCCTCTTCAACAATTTTTTCTGAAGAATTTCAGGACCAGCACGAGGGATTGGGAGAGATTGATCCGCATTCCTTTTGTTCTAAAACAGAAGCTCCTTTGGTGGATGTCATGGGAAAACATCTCCCGAGGGTTTCCCTTGATGGAAATAGATTGGGTGGTCATTACGACAGACCCCAGTCAGACCGGATGGGGGGCCCATTTAGGGAATCTATTTTTTCAAGCAAAATGGCCTCCAAGAACCCAATGCTTTCCAACATCAGGGAACTGAGAGCTACCTTTCTGGCACTTCTTCATTTTCAACACATCATCCGGCATTCCTGGATCAAGTTGAGAGTGGACAACAAAGCGGCTGCTGACTACATAAATCATCAAGGTGGGACAAGGAGTGTAGCCCTGATGAGGGAAATCGTTCCCATTATGACCTGGGCTCAGATTCATGTGGAGGGCCTGTGTGCCACCTATCTCCCAGGGAAGGAGAATGTGTTAGCGGACTTCCTCAGCAGACACCTGATAGAAGCATCAGAATGGCAACTTTCCAGGAGGATCTTTGCTCGGTTGGTCCAGAAGTGGGGTCTTCCCCAAGTGGACCTCATGGCAAATATTCAGAACACCCAGGTCCCGTGCTTTGTTTCAAGGAGATACCATCCAAAGGCGGTTGCTCAGGATGCTCTATCCATCAAATGGGAATTCGATCTAGCCTACGTCTTTCCTCCAATTCCCCTCATCCACGCTGTTCTGAGAAAGATCTCCAAGGAACATTGCAAAGTGATAGCTGTTCTTCCTTTCTGGCCTCATCGCCCTTGGTTTCCCCATGTTACAGAGGTTATCAAGGGACCTGCCTTGGGAGCTTCCAGTCTTGGAAGATCTGCTGATTCAGGGTCCAGTGTTTCATCCGGAGCCTCACAAGTTCAGGCTCCATGCATGGCTATTGAGAGGCAATCTCTAGTTAAGCATGGCCTTTCGGACCAGGTAATTTCAACCCT